GCAAGCAGGCAGCGGAGGCCCTGGAAGGCGTTATGTGACTATGTGCAGATTCTGCTGTCCTTCGTTCTGGGCCGTGAAAGGAGCCAAAGGAGAAACCTGCTCAGAAGACAGGCGTGGCCTGGCCTAGTTTGTCAGCTGTTGTTGGTGGCACATGCTCGTAATCACACAGGCCACATCCGCTTGCTTTGCGCCGGGGTTGCTTGGCTCTCGACAACGAAAAGCTTTCTCCTTTCTTCCATAGTTTTTGGTTCCGTCGACTTGTCAACTTTCCTAAGATCTCGAGCCTGCTGTGCCTCACAGCTGTGATGTTCATGGTGCCCTTCACGTCGATTCAGGAAGCAAGCGTGTTGCTCTCTAGCTGGCAGCATGGTCGCCTGTTATGGTGACATGTCTGCAAGTTTGTAACTTGGCAGGGCCTGGCCCTGCGTGGTGTCGTGGATTTGAAGGCAGGAGAGGGCGGAAGGTGTCTCTTGGCCGTCGCATGGCGACAGCTATGGCACAGGTGCCTTGCCTCGTGGTAGTGGCCCTTGGGGCTTTGGCTATCTCGACTTGGTCCCGGCCCCACGGCCTCGAGCTTCGACTCGGCCTCCGACTCTGTGGCTGAGGTTTGCTGTGAAGCAGGTGAAGAAGTATCGCGCCAAGAAGGACCGGCAAATCCTCGACTGCACCTCGCTTCCGTTGTTGTTTGCATGGCTGGAAGGCTGTTTGAGTGCTGCTCGTGGTGTTGATACGCTCCAGCAAACATTAGGGAGAATGCATTCCTGGCCTGTTTGAAGATGCTTGTCTCGACTTGACCCTGCATTCTCAATGTTGGCTTCTGGTTTGTTTCTGTTTGCTTGCCAGGTACTACTAGCCTCCGTCTTGTGCATATCAGCCTGCCGGAATGATGAGACTTGGGGTGGGGCACTGAAGTTTGTCCGGCTAGAAGCCTTTTGTGGAAAGTGTGCCAGTGCTGCTAGATGTTGCTGCGTTGCAGGTGCAGGTGCAGAACATTGCAGAACTCTCATTCCACTTGACGATGGAGAGCAGTAATTCATGCATTGCACATGGGGACCGGCAGCTCCGACGTCTCGCCGAGACGTAGACACAAAGTAAGCGGACTATAGAGCTATGGAACACCGCATACGTGCACGGGTCGACCCGCTCCTCACCACAATTATGCAAATTCGGCAGCCTCTCCAGTGTGTAACCCGCAGCTAGCAACGCCACTGAGTTTCTGTTCTTGGCTCTTTGGCGCCTTGCACATTGAGTTGCATGGAGTTCTTCTTGAACTCTCGGCGTTGCTGGGGCACAAGCCCTGCAACTCAACGGCGCACGACGTCTGGTAAACATGCCCGCGGGCTGCGAGACTGTCCGTCCTGCTGACCGTTGGCAGTGCCGCCACATATTTGCCAAGCTCTAGACTCTATAGACTCTAATGCCGTTATATGCAGATGCCCCAATCTCTGGCGACCGCTTGCGTGGCTCAGAAATCGCTTGCAGTGCATCCAGTTCCCGCGGACTGCAGTGGACTCGGTCGTTGTGTCATGCCGTCGCGACTTCGCTCTCGACAAGCCGAGGGATCCGCCTCCCTGGCTGCGAGCTCCGGTGCCAGGATGGGAGCCTGGTGCCCCAAGCGTTACTGCCGTGTGATCTTCATTTCCCCCATCGGCTTGCATCCAAGACGGAAGCCAGTACAGAATTCAATGCCGCATTCAACAGACTGTATTTAATTGCATTTCACACATGCAGCGGCCTTCGTACTGGACGTGTTTCGTGGGTGGTTTCTCAGATAGCCACGGAGCAGGCGGTGGGTAAAAGAAGGGTGGGCTGCTTGCTGGATGCCATGCCGACATCAGCCGCGAGTACAGAAAAGAGTCGAACTCGGCAGGTGGCGTATTCCCTACCTCTGCGGAATCTCTCCATGGCACGAGCCAGGACCTCGCTCGCCGGCTCAGAGACGAGAGAGAACCACAGAGAGATGTTGAGGTGAGCAGCTCCTGGAAGATCTCCTATGCTGCTCCGAAGCAGGAGCGAGAACCGCTCCCTTGTCCCTCTCGCCTTCCGCAAGCCGGCGAGAGGCCTATGAGAAGCACATGTTCTGCCGGCCACGCCTCTACGAGCCTCGAGGCGCAAAGCAGACGCCGACATGTAACTCTGGAGATCGAGTCTGTTGAGGCTCCGTTCCGGATGTGATTTGGGAGGCGATCTGGCCTTGGGCAGGGCGCCCAACCTTACGGAGGGCAGGTTGTACGGACTGTTTGTGAGCTTGCACTGCGCTTTCTCTGTGAGCCTCTGCACCTTTCGGCCTAGATGGGCCCTTGTTGCTGTGAAAACATGCTTCGGGCTTCCGACTGACACGGCTTTTAGCAAAGCTAGTTAGCTAGTTTTTTGTCAAGAGTTTGCCTGATGGAACGCACTTGCAGCAGCAGTATTCTGAACCCCTGACACTCCGTGCGTTCACGAAACTCCCGGTAAAGGCCCTACTTTGAAGAGTTGTAGACGCACCAAGCTAGCTAGCCCTGTCATTCTCTTTCTGTGTTTCTCTAAGGTCCCGGCCAACTGCCGCGTCTTCGACCCGCATTTGATCTACACACCAGCCCGGAAGCCAAGGTCCAACAGGAGCTTCCGGGTTTTGTCGCTCGAGAAGGACTCGCATGATCAGCATCAGCATCATTTAGATCGTTGTCGCTCCTCTCATTTGTGGCAGTAGCAGTCGTAGTAGCAGCGGCAGCAGTAGCAGTAAGAGTAGGAGGAGGGGGAGGAGGGTGGGGGTGGTGGTGGTGGTGGTGGTGGTGTGGTGGTGGTCGTGGTAGTGGTAGTGGTAGTGGTAGCAGCAGCAGCGGCAGCAGGAGCAGCAGTAGGAGTAGCAGTAGCAGTAGCAGTAGCAGTAGCAGCAGCAGCAGCAGCAGCAGCAGTAGTAGTAGTAGTAGTAGTAGTAGTGGGAGTGGGAGTAGCAGCGGGATGGGAGTAGGAGTTGGAGTTCCAATAGCAGCAACAGTAGCAGCGCCGGTGGCAGTAGCAGTAGCAGGAGAAGGAGCGGCAGTAACAGAGCAGCAGCAGTAGCAGTACAGTCCACCCCGGAAGACGTTCCAATCTTGCTGAAATCCTTGCCCACACTCGGGGGAAGACGAAAGAGGAAGTCGTAACAAACAGCGTCCACACGAGGCGTCGCAGGTTTTGCAGGTGGTCAGATGTTTGACATGTGAGTGATTTGATCGCACGTCTCAATTTCTGTGTCTGCCGGCATTAGAAGCCGTTTTGGTGAATGGGTCAGTAGCAGTGGATGCCGACCCCAGACAACCTGGGGTGTGCGTGCTTTGGGCTCTGGAACAGCACAACTTAGTACGCGTACAACCAGAATCGCCAGTCACTTACAGGCGACGGTTTGGGGTATAGCCTGGGGTATGGCCAAGGGTGTTGCCGAGGCAAAGATTGGTTCGTTTTTGGACACCTCCGGTCTCGTGTCTTTCCTGTCTGCTTACGCTTCGGAATTCGCGAATCTAGTTGGGGAATGGCTGGTTTGGAAGTGCTGTGATTCTACTGCTGTTTGTTTTGAGCGCGTGCTTCTGACATCGAGCGTCTGCATGGGGACTGGCTGGCCGTCAAGCTTTCGTGCGCTGTGATGCTATTGATGTGTGTCTTGAGCGGGTGCTTCTGACATCATGCGTGAACTGGGGAACAAGGCGAATGTTATGACTTCCGGTTCGAGTTTTCCTTGCAAACGAGACTTGCTCTACTTGCTTGAACCCACGTGCTTATTCATTGCGGAAACGACTGGATGTTGACACTCTATGTCCTTTCCTGCTAGTAAGCAAGGGGGTGATGTGACCATGATGTGACCTCATCACATCTGCCCAATAGTACTGCTAGCATCATCCAGCACAAACTGATGTGACTAAGGCCCCCCCTGTATCACTTCCTCGAAAAAAATAGTCAAAACCGCGCCTTTCACCGGGGAAAGTTGAAAAGGCTCCGGAGCTGCAGTTGTTGTGTCTTCAGGGTGCCTCCCATAGCTAGCCGCTACATACACATGGATCCTCCTTCAATCATTTTTTGTCGAGTCGACACAGTGTAAGAAGACTGGGGTCTGGCCTGCCCTCGAACACATGACTGGTGAAGTTGATGGATTTGTATGGGCTGCTTCATCGCCATTAGTCACTACAGTAGTCCATTAGTTGTATACATTTTCCTAGATGATGCCTATGTTGACTGCCTGCCGTGTCGTTCTTCACACAGGTCGTGGACGGAACGTCATTACGCACTTGCTTAGAGAAGTGCAAGAAGCCGTGATCCCAGAGAAGAATCTTCGAGTTCGGGAGTCACAGTTTCTGTGGGTGTTTCAGCAGTGGAGGGTTTGGGCAGGACGCTTCGGTATGAGATGTTCAGCTTGTTCGGAGTTCAGGCTTCCTGGACACGCGATTCGGGTTTCTCAGACCCGGCACCTCAAACCTGGATTTCTCTATCTAAGGTGCAGAGATGCGGCCATGTGCTTTTTCGTCTACAGCCTCTCGGCCGTATGTAGTGTTGCTTTTGAGCGCTAAGACATGGATTCCGCGCGCGCTTGGCCGTCGTGTTTAGTTAAGTGGCTTCGCGGAGCAGGCAATGGTAGGTAAGCCACGAGAGAAAACCTTGATGAGCAGCCCAAGTCAGCTCATGAGAAAGTGCGATTTTGTCTGCTTCCATGTGCTCAGGAGTCTGTGAACAAGTTGCTCTGAGGTGAGTTCGGAGACATGTTGGGCGGCTTCTCTCCCGTGATCTGGGCGGCTTAGCTCAGACTGGCGCCCTGGCAGAGTGTTCGAGAGCAGAGAGCCGAGGCCCGGACCAGCGGATACTTGGACCTGATGACCTCCTTTAGGGCTGCCGAGGACGCCTTCGTCTTCCGGAGGCCAAAAAGCGAGTGTGCGCCCCCCCCGCCCCCCCGTGCGCTGCTCTTCGTCGCAGCTGCGCTGGGAGGCTTCAGGGGAAGAGCACCGTGGACGTCTTCACTTGGTCCCTGGCCTGCGCGAAGCATCGCGAAGCATCGCGAGGCTTCCTAGGCTTCGTCCCATGTCCGAGGACGGGCGCCAACCAGATGCTCATGCAGGCCTCCGAGGCGAGGCTCTGGTGTTTTTTATTTGTGGCCCGCCGCCGACGCCCTTCTCTCTTGCTCCTTGACAGCTCCATGGCTTGATCTTCGGTGGGGATGATGCCGCGGTGCACGTGAACAAGGACAGCCATGGGGGGAGGGGCAAGAGAGAGAGAGAGAGAGAGAGGGTCTGACCCGCCCCCTATGCTTGTGAAGAAGAGAGAGAGGGAACCATCCCGCAAGTGCTGTATGTCAACAAGAACAGGCAGGGGACCAGGCGAGTTGATAGAGCCTGCAAGCCCCAGGCAAGCAAGCAGGACTGCAATGAGTCTGGTTGGATGTTGTAGTCTTACGACGTCAAGAGTTAAGTCATCCTTCGTGCAGACGATGCCCTGACTTCATTAGGGCAGGAGTCTGCCTCAATGCCTAGGACCTTACACGAGCCACCTCCAGCGCATCGCGATCCTTCAGCTCTCCGCCACTTCTGGAGGAAGCCGCAACAGGGCTGTTACGGCCTGCCTTTGGCACACTCGCGTTGCAGCTCAGGAGAGCCACGGCGAGTCGAAGGTAGCTCGGCACAGGACCAGACACACTCCTAGCGCAACAGCGCTCGCAGCACGTCCCCAAGCTCGGCGACCAAGTTCGGAAGCTGAGGTGGACGGAGTTCGCGACTCGTTCGAGATTTGCAGGCACGTCCCGTGTTTGCTACCACGGCATCGGATCTGAGTTCACATGCGGCGGTGGCGACAGGTTCGAGGTCTTCGCGTTGCTGTGAGCTCTGCGGAAAAATGGAGCTGACGCGTTCCGTTCCGTGGTGCATCGGTCCATCGCACAAAACACGCAGAACGCTCAAGGAGCTCAAGACTGTGGTGCAGCGAGAGCTGATTCTCAACACTGCCAAGGCCGCGAGTGTGTTCCTGCTATATGTACACAGCTCCTCTGCTCCTAGCCGCCAGGACCTGGTGGAGATGAGCACCGGAGCCGAGGCGAGAAGACTCCCTAAACCCACTTCGCGTGAGATGCCAGAGTCTCAGAGCCTCGAGCCTGGAGGCCATGCTCGTCAATCGGCGCTACGACGAGCCAGGGCCCAAGGGCTCTGGAAGCCTTTTGCGAGATTCCAAAAAGTAGAACTTCCTATCTGTATCCCTCTTGAGCAAGGTTGAAGCTGATGTACCGGATCTTCAAGCGCGAGGCTGTGACCTACCGTCTACCGGAGTCTACCGAGTCCAGTGGCCTGGTCCTTGGAACCTGCCAGCCCACGATGCTGCCGCACATCATCACCGCCATGGAGCCTTACATCGAAGGGAGGAGCCAGAAGAGAGGGGTTTCGAAGGGAAGGGACAGCCAGAAATTGGACTGCGCCGACTTGAGATGTTGCATGGGGTTGCTATGGCGGATACCAGCTCAGAATTGCCTTCTTTCCCGATCGTGCAGGGCTCGGGGGGTTGTGGAAGACCCGCAGATGATCGACAGCCCCGCCGCGTACATGGAAAAGGCACCCGTTTGCATTGTGCATTGAAGCTGCCCGGAAAGCGAGTACAGCTCGCAAAAGAAACAGCGGGTCAACATAGTTCTATTTCGTGCCACTAGCTTACACGTAGGTGCTGGAGCTGAAAAAGGAGGTGGACGACATGGCCGGGAGCCCTACAGGAGGACGCAGGGTAGCTGGTTTACACTGCACGACGCACTGTGTTATCCATGGAACTTCTGACCGGCAAAATTGGCATTCCCATTTGGGGTGGCCAGGTCTTGCGAAGGTGACCCCGTGAAGTCTCCTTCGGCCCAGCTGAGATTTTGTTGAGGTCGTTTCCTGCTTCGACAGCGACACCGGCTTCCAGAAGGGCCGAAACCGAGGCCTGGAGGCTGTGCTGAACAAGGCGCGACGCAACTTCCCAGAGGATTCCGACAGTTGCGCTGTCATAGTCGGGGAACCTCAAGCAAACACCCTGCTGTACAAACCCTCCAAGCCAATAAACATCTCTGATTCAGATATTTTTTGGAGTTTTGCCAACACTCGCTCTTCCACCTCGCGAACGACAGAGCTGCTTAGTGTTTGCGCTGAGTTGATCCATGGTTCTTACGGGTTCAGGGGTCGGGCAGGCAGGGTTTAGTTCTCCCTCTTCAGGCGCCTGTTTGTTTGGGTATGTTTGGGTGCCTGTCCTTGAAGACAGGACACGCGCTGTGCCAAGTATCTCGCTCTCTTCTGCGACCTGCAGCACTGCCGGCGCTGATTCCGTGTCGCCCAGCTGGGTTGCGCTTTCGCAGCAGCCAGGCTGAAGAAGGGCTTGAAGGGCCGGAACGAGGAGGAAGTGCAGACGTTGGTGAACCAAGTCGCCCCTCGCCGAGAGAATCTTCTCCGGGCCTTCGGAGCAGAGAGCCGCTCTCTGCCCCTGCTTCCTCTTTGCCAGAGGTGAGTCTCTTCGCCCATCTCAAGGAGAGGGCGCGCCGACGCATCTGCGACGCGGCCACCCCCCCCCCCATCGCCCCCATCGCCCCCATCTCTCCCTAACTTCGTGCCTTCCGCGAAAGGACAAAGACATCTTCCTGGACATCTACAAGGCGTCAGCGGCAGGCAGTCCTTGTGTTGAAGTTTGGACGCATCCCCCGCCACACAGAGCGCCTTGTCCCGGCGCCTGCTGAACAAGCTCTCTGTCTCCAACGATGCCGAGGAATTCGAAGATGGGCGCTTTCCCAGCTTTCCTCGGAGTCAGCTAGAGACTCCAGCGAGCTGAGCAGGACTGCTTCATCACCAAGCTGAAGGCGAGCCGGCGCGAGAGGCACAGCCGACAGTCGAGAGGATCCCGCACAGGTGGAATGCGGTCAGCAATCCATCCAAAAGCTGGCAGGGAGCCTAAAGGGCGGAGCTCGCTGCATGAAACACGAGGAGAGGGATGACATGTGGAAGCAGATACTTCTTCAGGCCTCCATGTTCACGGACATGGCGCTGAGCGACCAACTTCAGGTGCGTCTTATTGTGCCCTCGATGAGCCAGCACGAATAGAACGGATAGAAGCTTCAATTCCTGAGCCCTAGGAGGAGTACATGAAGGGCTCACACTCTGGTTCTCCGGGTGGCGTAACCCACGAGGCAAGGTCACCGGTGCGAATGCGGTGTGATGTTGCCACTGCTGCCGCTGCCTGTCTGTGCAGGTTCGAGTGCTCCAAACCAACGCTTGGCCCGAAAAGGTGAGAGCAGATCAGAGCACAGCCGGAGAAGCGTGTGGAAGCGCCCTTGCCCACTCACCAGGCCGACGACGTGCCAGTGATCCCTTGCCCGGAGATGACCACCTGCATCACGGCCGGGCAGAAAGACCCGGGGTTGAGACCCCACCTCTGATGCCCCTCCGGGCCCAGGCCTACGAAGCTTTTTACAACTCGAAGCACAACGGCCGGAAGCTGAGGCCAGACCAAGACCCATACGAAAAGCCCAATACAAGCCCCAAGGCCCCGAGTTGTTTTTTGGTATTCCCGCTTCAGGCCGTGCAATAAGCAGTCTCACCAAAGCTGGAGCCAGTTAAGAACCGAGAGCAGTCTTGTTGACAGGTGGATCTACAACATGGGTAGTGTGGTGCAGCTCTCAGGGGCCCATACTCTTCTGTATATTTGGTTGCGTTTCTGTTTGACTTGCTTCCGATTCGTTCAAGCACCTGCAGACTGAGGAGCTGAAGTGCCACGGGCTGGCACGGCCCCATATCTTGGTCCGGCCCTGTGCACTCTCTGAAACTGGCCGTTCTTGTGAATTCGTGCTCGTGGACGGATGTCTAATGAAGTTATCGTGATACATCGTGATGATCAGTACTATATAAGGAGTAATGTGAGTAGGGCCCCTTGGGAATCGGCGGGTGCATATTCGGGAGACTAATCAACACAGCTTTGCTCTTTGCGAAGATATGACGACACAGGACGAAGCCTGGCAGTGCCTAACAGTGGCCCGTCCTGAATGGTCCAAGGTGGTATCGGCCTATCAGTGTCTCGCACTGGTTCTCTTCAACCAAAGGCAGCAGGCACGGAATTAAATGATCTGGTTCGGGGCAAGGCTAGCTGTCTCTGCCCTGACAAGGTGACTTTGAGGGAGATATGCGAGGCGACCAAGCTTCCTGAGGAGGAATCTCGACGACAGGTCCTTTGCCACAGCTGTTAAAGCGCGTTAAAGGCTGCGACAGATCGAATTCAAAGAACACTGAGGTCACCTCCTTGACAGTTTCCCGGCACAAGGTGCTCCTGCACGACGCGACAGGACGGGACTGCCATGCATGGAGTGGGACGGAATGGCAGTCCTTCGCTATCGCTAGGCAAGGACCTCGGCAGTGAGACGAAGCTCCAGGCCAGCTCAGCCCGGTCTCTCGATTTCTGTCGTCTCCTCTCTCTCTCTCTCTGCATGTTCTAGATTGTATATATATATATATGTATATGCTATAGTATCTTTAAGAGTTCCCCGGTTTCATAGCGTCTGCAATGCAGACACAGCTTTTGTACGTGTCGGGCCCGATGTCACTGCCAAGTCTGCTCCCCTGCCAGCTTGGAAGGTGCCCTGTATGATTGTTGCCGATGCCACTTGCCTGGCATCCGCTGTGTTTGTTTGCAACACGTTACACGAGATCTTGCCTTCCGGATGGTTCTGCTTCTTTGCCTGGTCCTTTGTGTTCAATGTCCGAACCGACGTCCACTTAGAACAGTGCCACTTCTTGTATCGTGCCACCTCAGAGTCAGCATCATTGCTACAGTATGCACACCAGTTTTCGGAGTAGGAAAGTTGGTACCGTGGTCACAAGTGCCTAACACATTCAAGCCAGTGTCCTTGGCCGTTTTCGTTGTGGAAGTCCAACCGTCCGATGCTATCTTGCTTCCAGGCTTCACATGCGATGAGAGTACTTGACATGTACATATGTACATATGTATGCATGTATGTATATATGTGCGTGTGTGTATGTGTGTATGTGTGTGTATGTATGTATGTATGTATGTATGTATGTATGTATGTATGTATGTAATTATGTATTTATGTAATTGTGTATGTATGTATGCATGCATGTAGGTATGTATGCATGTGTGTGTATATATATATACATACATACACACATGTATACACACACATACAGACATAAAGGTTTCACTCATGCGCATGATCGACAAAGAACTCTTAAATATACTATAACAGATGCTACCTCTTGTTGAGTGATGGCTGCATCGGGGAGGATCCCGAACAAAGAACGAATTGTTGTGCTAGCCTGAAGACTGAAGCTTCCTATGCCAGAATACTTATGTATCAAGAGCAACACACTCGATCATGTACTCTACGAGTTCACCTTGCCCCAGCACCAACTATCATAGAGACACGACGCACACGCACATACAAACCCGACACGCGCGCAAGCCAACAGCATCAAACCGGCGTCCTGATGTCTTTGTTTGCAGCCCTGCAGCAGGTGGCCCTGCAAAGCCTTCATTAGGGACTCTTTCGTCAGGTCTTCACATCCTGTCCTAGACCAGCCGAAAGTTTCCCCTACTCTACGCTCTGTTGTTGTTAGCAAGCAGACGAAATGCAGCGGAACTGCTTTCAGAAAATGCAGTTTGCAGTCATGGAAGATGCAACGAAGCAATATTTCGCAGAAATCCAAAATAGTCGGCCAGGAAAAGGCACCGAAGCCTCAAGACTCATTGAGACAGACCTGCCTTTGGAACTCCTACATGCGTCGAGGCATTTCTCGACAATAGAGCAGCTTCTGGCACTCTAAGTATCGAGTAAAGCTCGCAGGCTAAGAACTCTGTTTGTCTGTCGGTGGCGGGGCTGTGTGCTGTTGACACTTTGTTTCTTGCAAGCTTTGGTTCGATTTTTGCTACACGCAGATGACCACGGCCGATCTGTTCAGCCGCAGGTAGGGCAGGTGGTTGAGAGACATGCTGTGACAAATCCGCTGGGTTTTTGAAAGGATCTCATAATAGAAGGCCTTCAAAGCTCGTGTGAGCACTCGTCGCATCAATCGTCAAAGTAGTTGGGCTGTTCAGTATTGTGCTGTTTGGTGCTAGCTCGAGCACTCAGACATGCTTACTTATCTGACACACACACATGCATTCCTATACAAAATTGAAGTCGAGCCTGGGTCGTGAATCGCTGCTCACTGTCAGCATGAGCCTTGACAAGAACGACCATACGTGGGTATACAAAACAGCATATACATGTGTGTATGTGGATGTGTATATACTAATATGCAGCGGTACATGGATACGTAGTCTTAGTAGCAGCAGTAGCGCTGGCAGTAAAAGTAGAAGTAACAGCAGCAGTAACAGCAGCAGCAGCGGAAGCAGCAGCAGCAGTAGTAGTAGTAGTAGCAGCACGCGCCAACCCCACCGTTTGCCCACGCCCACACCCCTTTTGCACGAACTCGTGCTCGTCGCCCTTCGTGCAAAAGGTGTGGGCAAACGGAGGGGTGTCGTCGTTCGTGCGTTCTCCTGTTCCTTCTGCTGCTGCTGGTGTTGGAAGTGCTGCTTGTGATCGTCGTCTCGGTGGTGCTGCTGCATCATGTCATCTAGCTGCTGCGCCAAGCACTAGCACACTGCTTTTCGTTTTCTGCGTGTCGCTGGTGGAGCTGGAGCCGTCAAAGGCCGCAGGAACGTAAAACCGCATGGTCTGCGGCCTGCCCAAGGGAGGGTGCAGAATAAAGCATTGCGCAAATGTTCCTCCTTTCCGGGGGCGACGGGGCAAAAACAGATATCTGCGGGGCGCAGGCTCTCCAGCTCGTGTTTTGTTTCGTCAGCCCGAGAAAGGAAGACACAGCGGGGCAGGAGGAGGACTCCCGTTAGGAATTGGCCGCACGTTTGCGATGCTGAGAGCTGCAGCGGACACAGGTGCAGCAGGCCTGCTTGGCCGTGGCCGGTCTCGTTGTGCTAACCGGACGTCGCTCGCGCAGCGACGTCCGGTAAGTGCTGCAGTTCTCAGCATCGGAGGCGTCTGGCAAATTCCTTACCGGAGTCCTCCTCCTACCCCGCTTTGCCCTCCTTCCTCCGACCCCAGGCCACCACGGATCAAGCCTCGCACTGACGAAGAGAATCACGAGCTGGAGAGAGCGAGAATGTTCTTCCTGCTGACATACTTGTTCGGCAGCTGACCGGGCGGTAACTACCGGTACTGTTGCTACCTGAACAGGTGTTGCTGCAGCTGCCGCTGCTCATACGTCTATCCTTGCTGACACTGGCTGGTGGTGGTAGCAGTGGCATTAGTAGTAACAGCAGCGGCAGCCGGAGCAGTGGCAGAAGCAGTAGTTAGCAGGAGTAGGAGTGGGGGTAGTAGTGGTAGTAGTAGTGGTGGTGGTGGTGGTAGTAGTAGTAGTAGAAGCAGCAGCAGCAGCAGTTATTATTATTATTATTAGTAGTAGTAGTAGTAGTGGTAGTAGTAGTACTACTACTACCACTACTACCACCACTACCACTACTACTACTACTACTACTACTACTACTACTACGACGCTGTCCCCCCCCTGGTGCGACGCCCCAAGTTTTCATGATAGGTTTTTTACATGGATGCTCTCTTTTCTGAAAC